TACTTTTACTGTTTCTATATATTAAACATATTTGTATTAAAAAAAGAAACTGTATGTATCAGTCTTGTTGGCAAATATCATAAATTGGATACATATCGGCATTTATTTAATCAAAACTCAGTTTTAATCTAATTGAAATTAGACACATATAAGATACAAACTGTGCCTTTTATTTAACTCAATAACTTGTTCTTGTATTTTCTACGTACGTAAAGCACATTTACAACTAACACCAGGTTCTTTAATTCACACGTTTAAAGCTATTTACGTAGGACATAGTGATCTAACACGAGTTAAAACAGTATGAAATAATAAAAAATGGAGATACTACTACAAATATTAAATGTAAGTTTATGTTGAAAAAACACTGTTATCAACAACAATAGTGTTATAAATAGAACATATTCATGTATGAGTGTGTTGAGTTACACATATACTGTGTTGGAATTCTCAAACAAACACTAACCTCATTCTAGAGAGAAAATTAACAAAGGCCCTAACATATGTAGGGTTTTGAGTCCTATTTAATTCACCATACAGTAAACTAAATTAATTTATGTGTATCAGTAATATAATAACATTATGCCTAAGAATAAGGCAAACAATTCAAATAATCCTCTGTTGTTACTCTAGTCTTTAAATACAATTTTGAATTTAATTCGTTATTTGTCCAATAAAGTTTATATCGATGATATTACAAATAATGGTCATCCTTTGGTGTCTTCTGTTATCTCCTAATAATTGCGTTTATTTTACTCCAAAAATGAGAATTTCTTTATTTTCCAATCTTCAAGTTGAAAACATTCGCCGTTCTTTGCGCCGCTGTTCAGGAATTTGTATACTCAAGTTTTTACTAGTGTTATTTGCATAAGTTATTTACAGCTGCTGTTTAATGACGTTTTTTACTGAAGTTGTTATTAATGTTGTTTACTTAATCTATTTACAGATGTCGTTCAATGACGTTGTTTCACCAAAATTATAACAAGTATACATTGTAACCTAAATTCGTTATATAAATACTGTTTTCTAATGCGTGTGTTTCCAAGGTTTCAAATGGTGCTTAAGTGACTAATTAAATGTTATTAATTTTGTAGCGTTACCTTGTAGCTATTGAAATAAAAAATACAATAAATATCTGATCAAATTTTAACCACCAGTGCGCAGTGGTGGATATTTGCATGACTAACTACAGGCGTTCGCCTTTCCCAGGACCTGCCCTCACAGTGTGTGGAGTATCAAGTCTTCTGCAGGCTAACGTAGCTTCTTCGTTCACTATTGAAAATGAATAAAATATTAA